TCTGTTTAAGTGTAATAAATTCAGGCAACTTGATGTTTCCAAATGCATCGAAATAGTCAGAAATGCGAAACTATGTTATAATTGTCTGCGGTCACATAAAGGCGAATTCTGCAATTATTCTAGCTGCATTATTTATTAAAAACGGCACAATATTTTGTTACATCTCAACAAACATTCAACCGACGCGACGAAATCTGGCGCGGCGAGTTCAAAGGCAGAAGCAAGCGGATGACTAGTGAAAACAACGACGAATAGCGGCGTTGCGCCATTAATCGACCATATAAACTATAGAGCGAGGATATGCAGGGAAAAGATTGCGGAAGAACTGTCAAATGGTTGCAGAGATCTGCAGGATTGTGGAAGAGCTGCAGAATGGTTGCGGAGATATTCAAAAAGGTTGCGGAAGAATTGCGGAAAAATTTTTAAGAAACTGCGGAGATATGCGGAAAGATTGTGGAGACATATGGAAAGATTGCAGAAGAATTGTTAAATGGTTGCGGAGATATGCGGAAATTATGAGAAAGTTGCGAAATAGATGGTGCAGATATGTGAAAAGGTTACAGAGATATGCGAAAAAGTTACAGGATGGTTGCGGAATGATTGCGGAAATATGCGTAAAAATTGCGAAAAAATTGCCGAGAAGTTGTTGAGATACTGCGGAATGGTTGCAGAAATATGCGGAAAGTTGCGAAGACATGCGGAAAGGTTGTAAAAGAGTTACGGAAAGATTATGAGAGGGAATCGGGGGAGGGGAGGGTGGCACCGTCGGAGGAGAGCTTCGAGAAAAGCTTTGTTTAAGAACTATCCACTTAAACATCCACTTAAAACGTCTCTATTTCCGCGTAGATCGGGTTTCGCAGGATAGCGTCGGTCGGATATGGTCAGGATTCGGTAAGAGAAATAAAATATCGTGAGCCTCTTTAGTTTATATATATCTAAGTCTATATTTACAGTTCCGACTGGCTACGGTTTTTTTATATGTACAATATTTACAAGTATCTTTCGGAATTTCGCCGTTGGTACGGTGAAAAGACGCACGGTTTCTAGGTATTGTATAATCGCTCGGCTCGCGGTCGGTTCTCCGAATTTCGGCGCGTTCACGGTAGGCGCAGGCGCGACGGTGCGCGGGGTTTTCGGCCGGCTTTTCACGACGGTGGGATCGCGGAAGGATCGCCGTGTCGGCGCCCCGACGGTTGATCGGTCGGGGACGTTTTAACATTAATAATAATTGAGGGGGGTGTCGTTATACACTTTGTGAATATTTCTTAAGCAATATCCACAAAGTGGATATTTCTTAAACAAATGCTTAAACAAAACTTCAATGAGGCAACCTAAATAAAACAACCCGACCTCGTAACATCGCTGCTTAGCCAGAATCTCAAGGACTCTGACTAATCCGAGAATTATAAATTAAGTAATTAAAATATGAAATAAAAAATAATAGGGAATAATGCGCGCCCGCGCCAATTGCAACCGATGTGCAATTCGGCAAGGACACTGACTCTGACAACACGTGTCGAAACGCTGATGCACCAAACAACGTTTCGACACGAGGACGCGCCGATGCCGCGTAACAGCGGACCGATAAAAGAGCTGAGAGTAATCAGGCGCGGCTCAGAATCAGAGGCACGTACGAGTACCGACGCGTAGGATTGCTAAGAAAATGTGACAGTTCGCGGATGATTCGGTAATAACGAACACCGAGTGTTAAAATAAAATAAAAATATCGTGTTTATTAAAAGATTGTGTGACTCCTTCTCCCCCTTCCGCCACTATCCTCTCAGTTGCGCCCGGAGTGGCACAACATCAGAAATATAAATATAAGCTAGAAAATATCTTCTATCAGATAATATAATAGTTTTTATGTTTCGTATTTGTATTAACTTCTTCATAAAATAATAAAAAATGAGTATCTAAAAAACTGAGTCTCAAAACTGACATAGTAGTGTTGCCAAAATTTACATGTGACTTCATAATGGAGTGGAAGAATAATAAAGTAAATTGACTTACTGACAACTACTTGGTAAAAAATGTTTTATATAAGAACATATATAAAATATGCAGGATGAATCTTAATGGATCCAACCTTTTATGGGATAAGTTATCAACTATAATCCATTTTCTATCCATGATGGTAATTGATTGAATCGAATATATTTTACAAATATACTTCTTATGGAAAAATGGAATAATTATATTTTTCTTCAAAAAAAGTATTTTGCACAATATTTTTATATAAATATAAATAAAAAATTAAAAACAATAATAGTGGATTTTCACACCACTCTTGAAGTTCTCTTTTCGCGTGTTAGGTTTTTTAAAGTTCCAAGCAGTTACTATCATGGATCGAAAATGGATTACTGTCGATAACTCATCCCATGGTAAAAGGTGGGGACATCCATTAAGATTCACCCTATGTATAAACTGTTAAGTACACTTTAATAATGATTCATTTACATTTGTCTTCTTTGAGTCATTTTCTTTTTGCGCATTTCTCCGCCCTGCAATGCTCGCGACTAGCGCATGATCGACATTGATCGCGATAATTTGTGCAATTCATTTCATGCTTCTTTTTTTCGATTCTGCGGACAGAATTTTCCGAACGCTCGACACGATCACAAGTTCCGCCATAATTCTCTTAAATGCGTTTCGATATTATTGGGTTGTCGGAAAAGTCATGACATATTTTTTCTATGTTTTTCAAAGGTCATTTATTTATATAAAGAACAAAGTCAATCAATGATATATTGCCCGTTTTGTTTGATAACTTTTTGCCATCTTTCAGTGAGTTTCATAATTTCTGGTTCATAAAAGGACTTGTCTTTCGGCGAAAAATTGAACAAGGTGCTGATTTACAGCCTCATCTGAATTAAATGTTATATGTGAGAAGTTTTGAAGAGAGCGAAACAAGTGGAAGTCTGACGGCGCAAGATCAGGCGAGTATAGTGGATGCGGCAACACATCCCATCCAATAATTTTTGACGGATGGTCAAACTTGTGTGTGGTCTCGCGTTGTCGTGATGAAACAAAACTCCTTTACAATTAACGAGCTCTGGACGTTTCTGGATGATGGATTCGTTCAAACTGTCCAATTGCCGACAGTACACATTCGAATTGATTATTTGGTTCCTTGGTAGGAGCTCGAAAAACACTACACCTTTAAAATCCCACCACACTGAGAGCATAACCTTCCTCTGATGAATGTTTGCTTTTGATGTCGTTTGAGGCGAATCATCATGTCGGGACCAAGATCGTTTGCGCACCACATTGTTGTAAACAATCCATTTCTCATCACCAGTTATCAGTCGCTTCAAGAAAGAATCATTTTCTTCACGTTTAATGAGCATATCGCAGATGTTTATACGGGCTGTCAAATGAACTTCTTTAAGTTCATGAGGAATCCAAATATCGAGCTTGCTTACGTATTTCAGTTTCTTCAGGTGATCGTGAACGCTTGAATGATGGATGTTCAATGTTTCTGCAATCTCTCGTGTCGTGTAACGTGGGTTTGACTCGATCAATGCCTTTAGTTTGTCATCATCAATCTCGGTGGGCCTCCCTGAGGAGCGTCGTTGAGGTCAAAATCACCAGCACGGAATTTCGTGAATCATCATTGGCACTGACGTTTTTGTAGAGTATCACTTTACGCAACTTTTCACAAGCTTGACGAGCGTTCTTCCCTTTATGGAAGTAAAACAGTAATATATGGCAAAAATGCACAGTTTGGTCTTCTATCTTCAACTTAAAATAAAATCTCTAAAACTCAACTAAATCGCTCAATTTTTTTTTTAGAATGAAGCTAGAACTGTCAGCTGTCAAATGATATAGCAATAAATACGAATGACTCTAGTACTTCCAAAAACGAACTAGTGTCATCTGTTACAAAAATGCGTCATGACTTTTCCGACAATCCAATATTTATTAACAACAAGTCTTGTGCCTAGAAAAGAATTGCTAGCTTTATAAATCCGAGTTGTCGAATGAGGACTGTTAATAAACTAAAGTAAGAGAAAGCCAGCTTCTCGAACATGTTTCCTGAGACATTTCTTTCTCTGTAAAACGCGTGGAAGACATTTGCCTACATCGGAATCCAACAATAACATATAAATATCCATATAAATATCCATATAAATACAATAACATATAAATATCCATATAAATACAATAATATATAAATATTTATATACATACGAGGTGCGATCAAAATATATCCGGACTGGGCCTGTAAAAATGTTAACATTTACCTGTGTTAAATCTGGCCTCCATCACTTTCGAAGTAGTCCTCTCCTGCATTGATACAGCAATCCCATTGTTTCTACCATGCCGCTTCTACTATATCCTTTTTGAAAGTCCTGTTCTCAAAGCCCGCGAAGCACCTCTTGAAATTCGACTTGAATCTCGTTTACGGTGTCAAAACGCCACCCTCCTTAAGCTCCAATTTCATTTTGAGAAAAGAAAGAAATCACAGGGGGCTAAATCTGGCAAGTAGGCGCGGTGTGGGATCACTGTCATGCTGTTTTTCGTCCAGAAATCCCATGTTTTGTAGACCGTGTAAGCAGGAGCGTCGTGATGCAGGAGCCAGTTCTTGTTGCGCCAAAGTTTAGGTCTTTTTCGACGAACATCTTCACGCAGGCGCCTCAAAATGTCATAGTAGAAGTATGCGTTCACTATTTGATTAGAAGGAATAAATTCCTGGTGCACAACTCCCTTCATATCAAACTGACTTGCCTTGCTTTCTTTGTTTTTGGAGATTGTGAACTCTTCCATTGGGATGACTGCTGCTTGGTCTCCGAATCGTAGCTGTAAACCCAAGTCTCATCCCCTGTGATGATCCTTGATATGAAAGTTGGGTCACCGTTGACCTGATGTCGGAGATGTTCACAGATGATGATACGAAAAGTCGAGAGACAAGAGACGGGGAACAAACTTGGCAGCAATGCGTCACATGTTTAAATCATGATAATAGTCTAAGCAGTCTGAAATGAAATTTCAATGGCGTCAGCAACTTCTTTGATCGTAATCCAACGATCATTCCTGAATGAACTGTGTGATTTTTTTCGGAAATGTCCCGTTTGACCACGTTGCGATTGACCACAGCCACTCACAACGGCCGGTGTCTAGAGATTTTCCTCTGTTCAAACGCTATGAGTGACTGGTGGTCAATTGCAAACGTGGTCAAACGGACCCCACCCATTTTTTCGACATTTTCGAGAGTGCTTGCGGCTGTCCAGATTTCTCGTCTTTTAACGATGTTCGGCTATTTTGAAATTGGGAGTGCCATTGAAAACATTGGATTCGACCTAGGGTATTATTGCCATAGGCCTCCCGAAGTCTCAAGGGTCTCTGTGGCAGATTTCCCAAGTTTAATACAAAACTTGATGTTCGATTTTTTATCCATCGTGAAATCGTAAAATGTAAGATATAAACAGCGTGTTGCATACATACACTATGCTATGTGAATAATGTCTTTATCGTATATGTAACGTATTATATATATGTGGGAGGTCTCTACATATTAATTTCGATAACATTTCGATTTGTAAACTCGGCTTCTCGTTAATTTAATATAAAGGACTCGGCTTCTCGTTAAGACTCGCACGGATTCGTAACACGAAAGAGCTCGAAAAACGTAGTGACACTTCGCATTGTTACTTGTATTTATATCCAAACTTGGGAGCTATATCGCACCAAGGATGGTTTCAAATAGCATGCCATCTTCGTCGCATCGTTTCCGAGACGTCGAGCGCGGTGCGCTTTGTAACACATTTTCGCGAGATTAGAGATGTGCTCCTTTACCTCGACCGAAGTCTTGTTTGGCGATACATTGATATGCCGCAATAGTTCGTCGCAACAGCATGTTACAAAATCACAGGGAGCGTTTCAACCAGCTTGATTCTGCTCGGCAGACTTACGCACAAAGGATGGAAGGGGGGAATTCTCCTGGAGCCGCGGGAATGTGCTGTAAGCAGTTAGCGAGCGGGTTACAGTCCGGATACATTTTGACGCACCTCGTGTGTGTGTGTGTGTGTGTGTGTGTATGTGTGTGTGTGTGTGCGCGCGCGTGCGTGCGTGCGTGCGTGCGGCGTGCGTGTGTGTGTGTAATATATAAACTTACTGACAAAAGTGAAGAAACAAAATAATCGTTTGGAAACTATTGTATATCTTTATCTTCTGAAATAGGTTGAAAACAAACATAATATAAAGAGATAACATTTCAAACATCAATATACAATAAATTTTTTTCGAATATGGTTGTATAAAAATTACAATTAATGTTGAGTCGAAGAAACAAAACAGAAGCTTTGTGACAAAAATTAGAAAACATAGTTTGCTTAAATTATATAATCACTTTTAACGAAAATAACAATGTGTAAACATTTGTAATAATCTAGGAAAATGTTAGATAGGCCTTGGATTTGATGACTGCACGACATCTGCGTGGCATTAATTCGATTAATCGAGCATAAAACCGGTATTTCAGACCATATTTTTATGATCTTTCCATTAACTCTGTTTTATCGGTAAGAGAATGCTTTCCCCAACTGACATCCAACATAATCCCACAAAGTTCTATTGAGTTCAAGTCTGAAGATTGACTTGGCCACTTGATTACATTAATATTTTGTTTTATGAATTTTGTTTTGAGAAATGTCTTAACTAATTTAGAAGAATGTTTTGGATCATGTTGAAATAACCATTCTATAAACATTTTTTCGTTAACAAATGGCAGCATATAATTTTGTAAAATATCACAATAGACAACTCCATAGTTTCTTTTATTTGTATTAAAGGATCAGGATTATTATGTGAGAAACCCCACACCATCACATTACCACCGCCAAATTTTACCATAGGTTTGAGATATTTTACATTAAATCTCTGTCCAATAGGACGTCGCACGTTACTCCTGGAATCATTTCCGAGTAAGTTGAACTTACTTTCAATTCACAAAATTTTTAACCAATCAATAATAGTCTAATTAATGTGCTCTTTAGCGAATTCCAATCGAGCTTTCCGTTTTTTTAGAAGCAAGTGATTTCTTATAAGCTTTGCATGAGAAAAGATTATTTTCATCTAAACGATGGCTAATTGTCCTCGTGCTAATATTTTCGAGACTCAATTGGTTCTTAATTTTAAAAGCAGTGTAAAATAAATTGCATTTAGAGAGCCTTAATTCGACAATTAAGTTTTTGACTTGTCTTTCGCGGTCTGCCAGTTCAACGTAGTGCCGTTTTAATAGTTCCATATTGAAATCGTTTTATGATCTTTGTGATAATGCAACGATTCACACTAAACACTTTTGCAATGTTAATTTTTCTCTAACCTTTTTTAAACATGTTAACTACTTTTTGCTTCTCGGTTTTAGTTAAATATTACCTTCTTGCCATATTTAACAGATAGCTTATAATACGAACCACATTTGACAATGTCACAGAGAAGACTAAACTTTTCCAAACATATTTGTTTATATTGATTTATTACATTGATTTATTGTATTTGATTTATTGCGAGAAATCTTCATGTTTCTTAACTTTTGTCATAAAACTTTTGTTTGATCTCTTCGACTCAATATTATTTGTTGTTTTTGTGTTACTATATTCGGAAAAGAACTTGAAGTATGTTGATGTATGAAATGTTATCTCTTTATATTATTTTTGCTTTCAATATGTATTTCAGAAGATAAAGAATATACACAGCAATTAGCAAACAATTATTTGTTTCTTAACTTTTGTCAGTAAGTGTATATATAAATATATATAAATATATATATAATATATAATATATATATATAAACATCTATAATATATAATATATATATATATAAACATCTATATATAAACATCGTTATAGATACATATAACTATATACTAAATATATATATTCTTATATATATATTCATATTAATTAATTTTTTTTTAATAAAATTTTTGTTTGATATAAGAAAAATAATAATAATAATAATATAATTAAATAATATAATTAAAAACATAATTCTCTCATTGTTCTTTTATAAAAAGAAAATTTGAAAATATGAGAAAAAATTGCCCATATATATTGTATGTGAGTGCGTGCGTGTGTGTGTTGTGTGATTATATATAAGTGACACACTAAATAACGATGTATTCGTATATGTTCATATCGGGATTGTTTTCAAATTGCAAAGTTTCACAATATAACTCCGTTATAATTGAATTTATGCTGAGGTGTTCATATTTCTAAACGATTATCAAATATTGTTCTAGATTACATATATAGGTAAAAAGTTAGCAATGTGATCCAGTTTGCTCATGATTATATGTTCGCAACCTATCAACCTGGTAATAATAACATCGTTACTTCAGTCGATCAAAAAAAATCAATGCAAAATGCAAACATATATAAGTAAGCCATACGAGCCTTACAATTTACACTGGATTTTCTAATATGTTCAAGTTTCAATTGATATTGCAGATTTAAATGTTAATTAGACATATCTATATTCAATTACTATTATTATCTCTTATTATTATCATAGTTCACATCTTATTGTACAGAGTTACTTATATTAAATCGCATAGTCTAACAAAATCATCAAACGACATGAAAGCCCAAGAGAAATTTTTGTAGGCATTATTTACAATTTTACATTATTCTTTACTTAACATCTCTTTATAGCTTATCAATAACATATTATTTCAATTTCTTAATACAAGTTTTTCATAATATTATACAAATTTTATTATTATAATTTTATTTTATTTCTACACAAGTAACGTACAATTTATTTTTAATCAAAACTGGTTCTTAGTGTCTAATATTAATTTTTGAATTTATATATATAAACAGAATTACAAGAAAAATATCATTACATACCTTAATATGGTTGATTTGATAAAGATGCCTATTCTGAAAAATAAAAAGATCCAACTTTGAATCCTAGCTGATATGATATTTTTTACAACAAAATATTGTAACGATGCATATTTTCTAACATCGTTCCGCGGCCGTCGAACCGTCAAGTGCCTGGGCGGCGATCTGTCGGGCGTAAGATGCTTTGCACTATTTTTTATCTGTATAAGGCTCGATACACACTATCGATCCGCTCTCGGTCCGCTCACGGTCTGATCATAATCCTTGAATATTCATACTATCAAATCGTTCACGGTCTGGTTATGATAAAAAAGGTGTACCATGTGTTGCGCATAACAATGGTGGCATGAACGGAGCCAATGAAATTTGGGTCAAAATACACCTGCGCTATTCAAACATAAAACAATCGTATATAGTTACATGTACTTAAAATGCAGATTTAAAAAAAAATACTTAAATAATACAAACGTAATACAAAAATTCTTTTATAATGAGAGAAATAATAACTTATGTGAATTTCTAAATAATA